CTCACAAAATTTTTTTCTTCATTTTTCAGACATGGATTCTCAGGCTTCAGGAGATTCAGTGACTTGCCAAAGCTCACAGAACTACTATGGAGTAGATAGAGCCAGCGTTTTTTTCTGGATTTCTCTCATTCTCAGATCTCAAAAATTCTTATTTTTTTTTTTTCTGTCATCATCTCAATAAAATGTGTAATGAATGAATAAAGTATTTTTTTAAACCAACCTAATTTTTTGTATAAGCATTAAAACCAAGAAGATTTTTTTAAAAATAACAGATCAATAAGGTACCATGTCCCCAAAGTCCTTTTTTTTTTAATTATTTGAATGATAAATTTCTCTTGTTTTGGATTAAACCCCGTTAGTTTATACTGAATGTAATAGAAGAGTCTGTTTATTTCTAGTTATTTTTTTAGATTCTAAATGACTGATAATGACTCTGGAAAGTTGATACAAAAGACAAAATGGATTTGTCTACTGTTAATTCTTGACAGTCATACATGTGTTTTTTTAAATTATCATCAGTCCTATGTCTCTGCATTATTTATGTGCAATTTTTTTTCAATTATGTATCAAACTGAAACTAAAAATGCAAAATTATGGAAACATTTTACTTAGTTTTGTATGGAGATTTGTGCAGCAAAGTAAGATATTTTTTTCATAGACTCATAGCAACCACTTAAAAATTAATTATAGGGGCACCTGGGTGGCTCAGTCGTTAGGCGTCTGCCTTTGGCTCAGGTCGTGGTCCCAGGATCCTGGGATCGAGCCCCATGGCTCAGGTCTTGGTCCCAGGGTCCTGGGATCGAGCCCCGCATTGGGCTCCCTGCTCAGCGGGAGGCCTGCTTCTCCCTCTCCCACTCCCCCTGCTTGTGTTCCCTCTCTCGCTGTGTCTCTTTTTTTTAAATAAGTAAATAGAAAAAAAAAAAATTATACACTTCAAAGATTTTTTTTTGAATTTTTAAATGGAATTGAAGCAACAGTTCTATGGTTTCTTTTTTTTTTAAGATCAATTTCTAAAATTAAGTCTGTTTGCTTCTTAGTTTTTTTTTTATGTAGCCCAAGTTTTGTATAAAAATCTTTTCAATGTGTGTTTTTTTTTTGAAAACTAACACTTCAGTCTTTCAAACTGTCTGCCATTTTTTTTTTTGTCAAAAATCACGTGTAAACATAGCTTCCTGGTATCTTAGTCTTCTCAGGCTCTTTTAACAAAATACTATGGACTTTTGAGGCAGAAATTTATTTTCTGGAGCGCCTGGGTGGCTCAGTCAGTTAAGCATCTGACTCTTGATTGAGACTCAGGTCAGGATCTCAAGGTTGTGAGATCGAGCCCCTCAGTTTTTTTTGCACTGGGCGTGGAACCTGCTGAAGAGTTCTCTCTCTCCCTTTTTTTTTGCCCCCCCCATCCCCTGCGTGTGTGCACATCCTCTCTCTCTTTTTTTTCAAAAACAAAAACAAAAACAAAAAACTTAAAAAAATAAAGAGTTTTTTTCTTGGTTTGCCTCTTTCTTTTTTGCCCCATGATTGTTTATTTTTTTTTTTAAATTCCACATATGAGTGAAATCATATGTTATTTGTCTCTTTCTAACTGACTTTGATAGAAACCAAGATTCTGTGTCTTGATCTGTGCTTTTTTTTTGGTATCACACTGTATGCTGCTCAACATTGCAGGGCTTCATGTTTTTTTTTTTTCTACCTCTAACCATACATCTCCTTAGGTCTGTGCTCTCCTGTGCTTTCCAAGGTGACTATGAACTAATCTGACCAGCTAAGCCAGGCTTTTTTTCTCACCAGTGCTAATATATTGATGTCAGATGTTTTAACCCTTTTTTTTTCTGTCTTCCCAATGTCATATTGGACTCCTGGAGAAAACAGTTCTGCTTTTCCCTTATTATTAAAAAAAAGTGGTGGGAATTTCACATCAAATTTTTTTGACAGACCCATGTCAGATCATAGGAGTTATTACTAGGTTTGTGGAGACCTCCATTACCTCTCAAATCATAAAGACAGCTCCAATGATTTCACCCAAACTATAATTTCTTCTTTCTCTATCCCACTCCTTTATTTTATTTATTGATTTTGAGAGCTGGAGATTTTTACTAAGAGTGACATATGATCTTAGTTTTTTTATCAATGTAGAGGGAATTTTATACCTCATACTAGATCAGTTTTTTTTTTGAATTACTCTCCAGTTGATTTTTTATATATGTCTTCTCCTCCAAGGAGTAGCTAAGCATCCGGTGGGCAGGAACCATGCATTACAATGCTTCCAAGTGACATTATAGCATAATGATTAACACATAAACACTTGGCTTCAATTTTTTTTCTGCCAGTTATTGGCTGTGTGACCTTGAGCAAATCACAAAACTCTCTGTGCTTTAGTTTTCTTATTTGTAAAATTGGAGTAATAATAGTGTCTACTTCAAAAGACTGTGTGAGGATTAAGTGATATGAAATGTATTATGTTTTTTTTATAGTATTTAGTTGTAGGAACTTAATAGATGTTGAGCAAAATTTTTTTTTAGTAAATAATTAAAAATTTAAAATACTTGAATAAAATATTTAAAATTAATAATAGATGTAGTCAAATTAATATAAGTTTTATTTAGGAATCCATGCATATATGCACTGCTTATGCCTAATTATCTCTACCACAGAAAGTTTTTTTATGTGTGTATGTATGGGTGTGTGTACATGGTCACACATATGTTTTTTTTTTATCTCAAAATTGTTTTATATTTTCCTATCTTATTACTGACTAAGGTCCTTTATCACAATACTTTGATTTGCTTCTAGTAAGGTCTGTTTTTTTTTTGACATTTAAGAATGGGGAGATTTATTACTAAAGGGGAAATTATTTTTTTGTCATGAAATACAGGCTAATAAAATGTACATGAAATTACTTGAAAACAATAGTAAGAAGGTTTTCTGAAAATATGTGCATAAGTGGGAAATTTTTTTTGGTCATTTAAATTTGATTTTCCATTTAGTATTTATGTCATAGTTTTTTTTATATATTTTCTGAATTTCAGTTGTTTAACTTTACAGAGATAGTTACAAAATTCGGGATTTCTGTTGCCACCTTTAGTTGTTAATTTTGGGTTAGGTCAATTTTTACATTTTTTTTTATCATCATGAGAATTTTCTTTAAAAGTAAATCCCCAGAATTATGAATGGATTATAGGACACACCATCCTCAGAATGGCTGTAACAAATTAATGCAGAGCAAGTGGTTGACATTAAGCAAATGTTAGTTTTCTTTCTTTTACATATAAAACACACCCCTTGATACTGTTGATTTTTTTCCTTTATTACCTTTACCCTCCCTAGTATCTAAAGTTCATAACAACTTGTATAGAAGAACTGTGATAGAAACCTTGATATAAGACACTGCAGTTTTTTTAGAATGTTTTCTTGGCTCCTACTCTTCTCAAGTAGTTTTGCTTTTTTCAACAAATGAGACTGGACAGGTGGAAGATGTTAGGAGCCTTTTATTTTTTTTGTATGTCAGGAATGCATAACAGATAGCAGTCTTCTATTTGTTTTTTTTTATCATCAGTTACAAATATTCTGGGAAAAGATAAGCTACCAATTTTTTTCTGAATTCTTGTTCCTAATAAAAGAAAAAGACAGGACGCCTGTTTTTTTCAGTTGGTTAAGCTACTGCCTTCGGCTCAGGTCATGATCCTGTTTTTTTGGGATCGAGTCCCGCATCGGGCTCCCTGCTCGGCGGGGAGTCTTTTTTTCCCTCTGACCCTCTTCCCTCTCGTGCTCTCTATCTCTCATTCTTTTTTTCTCAAATAAATAAATAAAATCTTTAAAAAAAAGAAAAGAAAAGAAAAAGACATTAACCTATTCAGGTTTACTCTTACTACATACAGACATTTTTTTTTTTGTTTTGAAGCAAATAGAAATGTCAGAATCTTGCTGGAAATTTTTTTTAGATATCTTATTTTGAATATTTCTGTATCTTCTAAATACACTTATTTTAGCAACTATTGTTATAATTTCATTATAGACATTTTCATGAATGTTTTTTTTATATTTTGGCAACTTATATAATGTCAAATGCAGTTTATAAATTTTTTTTTTAGGCAAAATATTGCCATGATTAGTTAGGTATCTCTCAGATTTTTTTTAGCTTTAATGTTAGGTGATTCTAAGTAGGATGTATAATGGCCAAAAATATATATAATTTAAAATGAATGCTGTAGTTAAAAGCTATTTTTTTTTTTTATAAAAATATTCATGGCAAAATAGTGGGAAAATTTTACTTCATTCATTTTCATGATGCAAACTGTAAAAGTTTATTAGTAATCATAATCACTTTTTTTGGAAGGCAAAAATAGAAGAAATATAAAATCAATCAAAAGAAAATTTTCATTTAATTTATTAAATATCAACAAACTCCCTGTACTTTTCTTTTAAAAATATTATTTCTGTGCCATTAAATTTTTGAAGTAACCTGAAACAGACATTATTATTCCCACTTTCAAGATAAAAAAAAAAACACCAAAAAAACAAAAATGTAATATTAAATAAAAGAACAAGAACACACAACTGGTTAAGTGCCTGGTTCCAAGTCTGAGAGTGCTTTAGCACTGAATGTAGTACTCCTTTCTTTTTTTTGGAGTCAAATCTTCAAATACAAAGTGCAAGTACTCATCCTTTTTTTTTTTCAATTCTCTCTTCACTCAAAGGGAGGACTGAAGAATTTTAAATTTCACAATTAATTCCCTATTCATGGTTTTATTTTAATTGTCTAGAATTTTTTTCTCAAAATGATGTTTTTACTCTGAATTTACATTATTGAAGATTTTTTTTGCAAATCTCTTTAAGAGGGAAAGATACCCAGAATTTGTCTTTATATTTAGATAAGTCATTACTTAATGTTACTTTGAAATATTTCAAAAGAACACACCATATACATGAACAGTGAAATCATTATTCTTTCCCCTAAGGTAAAATTTTAAAAATTACATCGAGAAGACTACCTGCAGACTCACAGTTTGGTTCTCTGTGCCTGGTATCCTTGCTTATGTTCAGTGGAGGAGAAGCCTGTTTTTTTTAATCCACTTGAACTTGGATAGGTTTAAGGTCAGATTTAAGATTTTTTTTTATTGATGACCCTTGCAGAAATAGCTCTAAACAAGTAATAGGATTGACATAAGAGAATTACAAAGCCTGTTCATTAATAGTAAGGCAAAGATTTTTTTAAACAACAAAGAACTTCAAGTCCTGTGGTAAATACAACCTTTTTTTTTTTAGTTTATGTTATTTGAGAAAAAAAAAAAAACACACATTACTTTTTTTTAGCATGGACTGATATTTGTTCTCAGAAATTCACTTGTCATTTTCTGAAAGAAAAAATTAGTTTTTCTGATCAATAATTGCCTTATTTATTGTTTTTTTAAAATGTCTCATGACTTTTTTTTATGTGTACCATATTTAAATTTATCTCATACACCAGAATTCAGATCATGAATGACTGATAGAATATTTATTTTTTTCAGTCCTGATTTAAATAAGATTGGCTTGTGGTTAAATGAATATGATCGGCTTTTTGAACTTTGATAGTAATTCTGGTTCAGCAAGTGCTGTTTTTTTTTTCCCCTCCTAAAAATATGATTGGAATTGATTAGTAATGTTCTTTTTTTCACAGAGATGGTAAATGCCATCTCTAAACTTATGGAGATTGGTTTTTTTTTTAGATTTATATAACTGGTTATATTAATATATTTAAATACTTTTTTTTTCCCTTCACTGTCTCAGAACCAGCAAGACTTAGCTGTATTTCAAGTTGTGTTTGTTAGCCTGTTGAAGGCAAGAGTTGAAGATAAAAGCTGGCAGTGTCCACTTTATCTTTTTGGTCTTAAGTATGCCAATTTAATTAAAATTCCCTGCATCTAAAATGTTGCCTTTTGCTTAATGAAAGGCATTTTACTGTGGTTTATGTTTAATATTAAATAAAGAATATTTAACACTTCTCACATTTTATAGATGATCTGTAAGGTCAGATGCTTTTAAAATTCAGTGTGACAACATATAGCAGCAGACTTGGCTTGTGAATTCTCTACTAAGTCAGACTAAGTTTTTTTTCAGGATTTGTCTTCCAAACAGCTATTCAAAGACACAGCTGTGGAAATACCATATATGAATAATTGGTAAGGGTGCTTTTGCCAACTCGTTAGAAGGGTTAAAATAAGGAGATCTATCATCAGCACAAATTTGTAAATTATTTTTTTAGGCTTAAGATAATTAAAAACAAAATCACAGATAAAAAAAAGTTTTTTTGATCCAACTGTAGGAACTATCCTTCTCAACAATTGCATTTGGCATGGTCCATTTTCCTCTTAAATTCACTAAACAACTATTTTCTTCTAAATTTTTTTGCCCTGAAATGCCTTGTGTATTAGAATCTCTGCTATTCTTTCTTTTTTTGGTTTCTTTTGGCAAAAAAAAAAAAAAAAAAAATCCTGGAGATTTTTTTATACAGTCTTTATAATGTTAATGAGTTCTACCTTATTATATCTTTTTTTTACTTTATTGTATCTTTCCTAGTTCTTCTTTGTTTTATTATGTTGGTTATTTTACTTTTCTTCCATGTGTTATTCAAAACAAGGAACTTTCAGGCACCTGGGTGGCTTAGTCAGTTGAGTGTCTCTTGATTTCAGCTCAGGTCATGATCTCAGGATGGTGAGACTGAGCCCTGTGTCAGACTCTGTGCTTTTTTTTGAGCCTGCTTGATACTTTCTCTCCTCTCCCTTTACCACCCCCTTTTTTTAAACAAAACAGAACAAGGAACTTTCATTCAACAACAACTTATTTTTTTTCTACCTTTTGTTAAGGGATGCTCATCAGAAGTGTTATTGAAGTTTTTTTAAATTAGACTTTTGCAGTGAAACTATTGGTTCATATCTACCCTTTTTTTTGTATATTTTATGATCTAAGAGTAGTTAGCCTATAGTTTACATTTTTTTTTAATGGGCAAGAGGCAATAATTACATGATATTTATTTACACTTTTTTTTGAGTATGTATTTATCAGTCCCATAAATATGTATTAAGCACCGACTTTGTGTCAACTAGCAGTGACTAGACACTGAGGATACAAAGAAAATTAAACCATATTCCCTATGTCATGGGGCTCATGGTTCAGTAAAGGAGATATTTTTTTAAAAATCACAACAAGATGCTATAACTACTACAAAATTGGGAGTTTTTTTGAAATATTCTATGATACAAATAGAATTGGTTTTCAACTTTTTTTTTTTTTTTTTAATAAAACATCAGGTTGGCTAAATAATTTCTGGGTCTATTTCCTTTCTGCATTTTAAAGTTTGAATGGTGTTTTTTTTTACTTTTCATTTTCCCCATTGTTGCTGGTTTTTACCATTACAAATCCTGTCCTGCTATTTTTTTTGGAATATAAGTACATGGGGAAAGTAGACAGATGTGTTCAATTTGCCTTTTCCTAACATCTTTCATCCTCATGGCCAAATTTCTCATCCAATTTTTTTAAAGTAGGGAATATAACTTATTTCAAGCTTAACACTGGAAATTTATAATTAGCAAGAGGACAAATATATGAGGCAATTAAAATGAAAACATTTTTTTTAATTAATTATAAGGTTTAATTGTATGTAGCTTTATCTAATAATTTTAAATGGATCTTTGTGCAATTTTAACAGTGATAGTGTCTAAACACATTTTTTTATTTATATCTTATTATTCTAAATTAATTTAGCATTTATGTACTTTTTTTAGCAGGATGAAAATAACACATTTCAGAACTTTGTTAATTTGTTTTTTTTATGTATGCTGTATATTGACCTCCATATATAGATTTTCAACAGTTTTTTTGGACAATTCACATTCAGTTGTATGAACTAAGTGTTTTCTCTCTTTTTTTAGAATCTAGAATATAATCATATGCAACACCAATGTATATTTATTTTTTTCCTTCTGATGGAAAGTGTACAGAAATTTTGTTTCAGTTTGATAAAAATGTCATAATTAATAGCTCTTACATTCAGAGTAGATGTTTAAGTTTTTTTTTGATATAACTAGGAACACTTATATTCAAATATTTAACATTTGCTTTTTTTTAGAGGCATGTGGTAAAAAAAAGTCACTACAGTAATTCCTATTCCCACCTGCCAAACACATATATTTCCATAATTTTCTTTCTACTTTGTGTTTTTTTTGGCATTTGTTTACTGGAGGGATTTTGGACGCTTAATGGATATCAAACAGTTGCCTCCAATTTTGAGACATTCAGTTCAATTGCACCAATCATAGATTGAGCAATTTTTATAGATCATGAAAACTTGTCAAAAAGAGTCAAAGCTTGGGGGACCTGGGTGACTCAGACAGTTAAGTGTCCAACTCTTGGTTTCAGTTCATGTTGTAATCTCAGGGTCATGAGATTGAGCCCCACGTTGAGCTCCCCATCAAGCTCCCCATTGAGCTCCCCATCAGGCTCTCCACCAGGGTCACTATTGGGTTCCACATCAAGCCCCACATCAGGCTCCATGATCAGCTTAAGACTTTCTCTCCCTCTCCCTTTGCCCCTCCCCCCAAATAAATAATTTTTTTTCTTTTATTTAAGATTTTATTTATTTATTTGACAGAGAGAGATTTTTTTAGAGAGGGAACACAAGCAGGGGCAGTGAGAGAGGGAGAAGCATTTTTTTCACTGAGCAGGGAGCTCAATGTGGGGCTTCATCCCAGGACCCTTTTTTTATGACCTGAGCTGAATGCAGACACTTAACCACTGAGTCACCCTTTTTTTCTCAAATAAATAAAATAAATCTTAAAAAAAAAAAAGAGTCAATTTTTTTAAGGTTCATTATTTCACATATATGATTCCTGATTTATGTAGAAATATTTAAAAGTAGTGGAATTATATGATGAGATTTTATATCCAATTTTAAGTATACTGAAATACTGTCAATTTACAAAGGAAAAACATTTTAAACTAGCTGAAAATGTCTTATAAAACAGGAAAAATATTAATAGTTAGCATATTCTCTGAGTATTCACCTTGCCAGCTGAGGTATTAAACATTTATTTCATTTAATCTTCACAACAGTCCTCTGAAGTAGGTGAAGTATAATTTTACAGATGATTTTTTTGGCTTAAGTAGGTTTTGTAACTTATTCAATTTCATGAATTTATTTTTTTGTATTTGTGGAATGCCTACTATTTGATAAACACTCTTCTGTGTTTTTTTTATACAATAGCAAAGAGAACAAAGTTTTTGTGTTCAAAACATTTTTTTTATGTCTGTGAAGAATCCAGGTTTGGAATTCAGGTATGACTTATTTTTTTGGCTCACACTATTAACCAGTAAACTCTCTTGCCTAGGGCAGATTAAACATCCTTTAAAAAGAAGAAAATATAGAATCCTTTTGAAATCCTAAACAGTCTCCATTGAAAGGTTTTCTGGTTCCAGAGCTGTCATACATATCTACCTCCCTCATTTTTTTGAGGATGAGTTTTATTGAAAAAATTTAAAAAGCTAACATCATATTCAGTGGGGAAAAACTGAGAGCTTTTCCCGTAAGGTCAGGAACAAGGCAAGGATTTTCACTCTCACCACTTTTATTCAACATAATACTGGAAATCCTAGCCACAGCAATCAAATGACAAAAAGAAATAAAAGGCTTTTTTTTTAGTTAGGAAAAAGTAAAACTTTCTCTATTTGCAGATGACATGATACCATATATTGAAAACCATTAAAGACTCCACCAAAAAACTAGTAGAACTGATAAATGAATTGAGTAAGATTGCAGGATACAAAAATCAATGTACAGAAATGTGTTGCAACTCTATACACTAATAATGAAGCAACAGAAAGAGATTTTTTTAAAACAATCCCATTTACAATTGCACTGAAAACCATGATACCTAGGAATAAACCTAACCAAAGAGGTAAAAGATCTGTACTCTGAAAACTATAGAACACTGATGAAAGAAACTGAAACTGACACAAAGAAATGGAAAAGACATTCTATGTTCATGGATTGGAAGAAAATATTGTTAAAATGTCTACAC